CAATTAAAATATAATATATAATACAGTATTTTTTAAGTATTAGTTTTAAATGTAATTTAACTTTTCTAAGAGCAATATAATATTGATAATATCTATTTTAATTAATTTTTTTAAACGACTTAATTATATTTTATTTTAAAAAATAAAATCTTATAAAATGCTTGTAAACTAAATATTGATTCAAAAAATACTATAACATTTTTATACTTAATATAATATATTTATTATACTCTATATATTTAATACTTAATGTGTTGTACAGTATATTCAGTGTAATAAGCATTCAATTTTTAAATGAATTGATTGAAAAATAGCTTAAATAAAATTATAATTTTACGTTTTACAATAAAAACATAAACTGTATTTACAGTAATACTTGATTAAATATGTGATTAAATAAATGATTAAATTTATTTATAACTTCCGTAGGTAATTTAGGTTTTTAAAATAGTTAATGTTTAAAAATTTGTTATTAATGTTACCACAGATATGATTAAAGTTAAGACTTTTTAAAATCCATTTATAATATAATTTTATTAATCTATATAAAACTTAAGTTAATTTTAAATTATAATTTGTAGTCTCTTTGAATGTAATCAATAAAAATCAAAAACACGGGTTTGCATTGCTATTCATTTTTCACAATAACTTTTCATTAAATCTATTACTTAATGACAAAACAATTTTGGTTTATTATTGTATGTAATTTTGGCACAAAATCATTAAACAAAACGTTTTATGAGAATCAAGTTTTTAATTTATAAAAACATACAGTATTTTAATGCAAATTATGTGAAATCGAAAGAAAAGTGAAAAACTTTAGAAACAATAAAATATAAAATAAAAGTTATTCTTATTTTTTAATTCAAATATATGTTTGTTTAAAAAATACAATTTTTAATCCTAATAAATAATTAAAGATTTTGTAAAACACGTTTTGTTTGAAAATTATTGAAATTTACGGCAAATATAATGAAAAAAACAAATAGAAAAATGTGGAAAACAAAAAAACAATTTATCAATTTATAATTTAAAATATGAGAAAACAATTAAAAAAGCGTTTTAATAGCATTTACTTAAAATATTTAATGGCATTAATTTGGATTCAGAGCAACAAATAAGCAAATATTATATACAAAGAGAATGGCCACCAAATTATTTAAATTATCATACATTCAATAAAGTCAGGGATAAACATTTCAATGCATTTTTACATACATTGCTTTAGCTTAAATATTATTAATATAAATAAAAATTGAATTTATTTTTTATTTTTTCAAAAGGTATTTATTAGAAATTTGTTTTAAATATATAAATTTATTATTTATTTTATGACAGCATCAGGGAATATATACTACAAACCCATTTTTGGACCGTAAATAGGGGTTATTGTGGGTGTTATGGCCTTATGTTTTTGGGGAACAATTTATTAAAAATAGATTTTATCTAAAAAAATATAGTTTTACGGTATTAAATGTACTTTAATATAGTTTTAGAAAAAGTTAATTTACCTTTTTATCTCTCCCCCATTTGGCAATTGTTTTTATTTTTTAAAGTAAAAAACAGACAATTTATTAGAGACTATCGATTCTTGTTTTTTTATTATTATCTAATAAAACATTATTACAAAATCTTATTAGTTTTGGTTGAATGCCTATTATTTGTGCATTTGTAAAAATATTTTACTTTTTTATTATTATTTTATTGTGGAATTAATTTATAGATTACACTGTAATGTATTGATTCAGATAACTATAAACTGGTCGCCAAATGATTTGAATAATTAATAAAAACCAAATACCTGGTGATACCAATCAACAAAACTGACTACTTTGACCACATAAATAGTTATTAAAAAATGTTATATAACTCAATGCACTGTAAAAATTATTAATTAAAATAAAAAAAACTAAAAATAAAGATTGATTACCAGTTTTAATAATATTAGATTAAACACATTATGTAATTCAGTTGGTATTGTATTGTTAGTTATTATTAAAGCAAACTTCTTTTTTTTAAAAAAAGATAAATTAATTTTTCAAATTTATAGCCTCTTTATACAGTGATTTAATTTTAGTAATAATATTATTTAAATTTTCTTATTACTGGTAATATTGTTTTTCTTAACGATTAACCTGAATATAAAAATCTCGATTTTGATCTAAAACTATTGAAGTGCTCTCACACATCATGTATTGAATTAATAAAAAAATATCCGATTTTCTCAATTACTGTAACATTTGATGAGACGATGAGAAAAAACAACATTTTGCTATAAATTGTTTGTAATAACAAAATATAATATAACAGTCATTTTTTCTATAATAGTAAACCTGATGTGCAATGATTACACTGTATAGTCCTAACTGTTTATCTATTATTAAATCACATGATATTTTAATACACACTATAAGTAAATGTTAACCCAATAACACAAATATATAGTCTATTATAGCAATACTTAGGCTTAGATCTACTCAACAATAGTATTATGTCTATTAGGTATCGTCTTAAAAGACTCGCAAATTGAATGCATAGCGGAAACTAAAGTATATTAATGTTTTATATTTAGGTAATTGTATCGATTTTATCGGGTTTAAGGTTAATGACAAATAATTTATTTTTGAAGCTAAAGTTAATTAAATTTTTATTTATGGTTTACTTATTTTATTGTGAGTTTAAATCAATAGCCAACTCTCTCATCAAATCTAAAAAACTATGTATTATTAGCTGACATTGATTATCATTGAATAAAGGCGTTAAATCTATTGTTAATTAACAAACAATTATATAAATTATTGTATTGTATAACATTGATTATATTTTATTTACTTTATATAAATAATATTATTATTTTGTTGTTATTGTTATATCTGTTGTTTAAGAAAACTAATTATAAAATATTTAAAATATTTTTTATTAAATAAAATGCTAAAATATTTGAACTTACAATTGTTAGCAATAAGGAAATTGCAAAATACAGTATTTTTAGATATTTATATACTGTATATATACTGTATATATATGTATATATATATAATATCTGTATTTCTGTACAACATTTCAAGTTATTTTTTTTATAAATTTATCCCATAATTTTATCACAGTTTTAATAATGGATAAAATCTATTATTTTTTGATAAAATGATACACATGTTGTTAGTGTTGGCAAAAAAAATATAAAAATAATAGAGAAATTTCTAGAAATTTTCTAAAATTTTCTGTCAATGTTAATCCATGTTAATTTTGTTCTCTCAATATTTGTTAACTTGTAACAATACATTTTAATCATAAATAATAACTAAATATTAGTATTTAATAAGCATAAAAATTAATCTATAACATTAAACTAAAAATATAATCAAATGATAAATAAATTGTACAAAAACTAATTATAATTTGATATAATAATTATAATTATAATCATATATAAAGATCCCATTCCTATAGTAGAGTAGTGTAGTTAATATATGTCTCATTAATATATTAATAGTATTACAAATAGCTATAAATATGGGGATTTCATAGTATAATAATAAAGTCTATAGAATTTTTTTCATGAGAAATTTACTAGAAATTTCTAGTAAATTTCTATTTGCCTATCTTTAGTATTACTGTGTATTAAAGATTTAACAAGTATTGTACATATTTAATATTATCATTATCTAATAATTATAGTTAAAAATACAGTATTATAGTATATACTGTATTAACATAGTATTAAATAAAATAAATTTTTTAAAAGTTAGATTTAATGTGTTTTATTAGTTTCATTAAATTGTTAATTATTTAATAGTTATTAATTTAGAAATCATAACAATAATAATAATTCTATTAATAATAGTATACATTAAATATTTGACTTCAATTCAATTTGCATATAAAAATAACTATAGTTCGCTCTTACTCTCAATTAGATAATAATAGATAAAATAAATAAATAATTATAACTTACAATTGATAATATAATTACTTTGTATTCAAGTACAGTATTATTTGCTGACAAACTTTACTATTAAAAAGTGCATAAGTGATTAAATACAAGTTTAATTTATAATTTACATACAATATATTAGACATTATATAAAACAAAGTGTGCATTAAATATATTATTTTTTATATTTCAAACAAATGTATGTATTTTATAATTTATAAGTGAGTCTTATATGTACTGAAAGTATCAATAAATTTATAAATTAAGAGAGAATTAAATTATTTTTTAATCTATCAATTTCAACACATTAAGTAAAAATAACAATTATTACAAATAATAATAGTTGAAAAAATAATAAATTACTATCAAATTAATGTAATAAATTTCTTAAATAATATAAATAATAATTTATAGCAAATATAATATTTTATAAATATGATTTATAAAATATAACAAATAGCACAATTTACTTTAAAACCAAAATAGTTTTTAATCATATAAATTAGTTATTTATTTTATTTATAATTATAATCAATAATTAAAGATCATATATAAATTAGTTTTAATATTTTTTTTTGTCAAAATAATATTTTTCATGAATAACATTTATATTTATAAATATTTTTCAAAATAAATAAAAATAAAGTTAATAAATAAATTGATTTATTTTATTTATGAAAAAGTAAAATACTGTATCAATAATACAATAAAGTAAATAATTCATAAAAAATAAATCTTAAGTATTAATATAATAAATATAAAAATTTTACTGTATTGTTAATACCATTATATTAGAAATATAATACAAACAACGCTAATCATATACTGTATTATAATTCTATAATATTATAATATTATTATTCAAAAATATTTAGCACTAAGTTAGCAAAAAAATCATATAAAAATAAAATTAGTAAAATGTTATTAAAAAATATAAGTTTTTGTATAAAATGAAAATAAAACAAAAACAATTCACTAATATAAATACTGAATCTCTTAAAAAATTAATTATAATGAAAAAAACAATTTAAAAATAATTTTTAAATAGAAATACAATAAATTAGACTAATTTATAAATTAAACTAAAATAGTATTTAAAAATATATAGAAAAAGTGGTGTCTTTTTAACGATAGATTCATTTGGTTGGTGTTGAAGGATCTTCATATGGATCATCAGTTTTGATTCTTTTATGTCCATCTTTACCCTTAACATCTCCTTTACCTTCACTACCACTTCCACTATCACTTCCAGTCTTTACTTTTGGATTAATTCTTTTCTTTCGTTTTTTCTGAGGTGTTGTATCGCTATATTCCAACGCTTTATTAATCGCTTCTATAAATTGGAGAATATTTTTAATTAATTTTTTATATAATTATTTAATATTATGATAAATCAAACCATTGATATAATATGAGGGAATAGCGTAATACATGACAATGTTGTCGATGAGTTGCAAATAGAAATACATTCCGATAACCTTTCCCTCCATATTCATGAGGGGTCCGCCGTAGTCATCGACAGCAAAGGAGGCCGTGTGTTGAATATAAGCAATATTATTGTTAAGCAATTCATATTTTTTGCCAATTTTGCAGATTTCATGACCCATACGATTGGGCCAACTAATGACACCTTTATTGACCGTTTTGTAATCCCAAGAGTGTCCGGCAATCACCACTGGATTACTTGCCTTCAGTGGTAAATTGATAGCCAATTGTAATCCACTCGTTATATTGTTATTCGGTCTTACGATAGCAATGTCATGCTCTGCGTTAATATAGACAACTGTTCCGTCGACAACATTTTCATTACCTCCCACTTCATTTGTTTCGGACATTTTAAGAATAACCACATTTGAATTGCCGACCGCACGAGCCGTCGTTATTATGAATCCTTTGTCGTTGTTGTCTTTGCCTTTCACTATGACTCTAAAGCCCGAAGCCGTCGTAAATAAAGTATTGTCTTTATCGGGATCAGTGTTCTCGATCTCCTGTCGGACAGAAACTACGTGTGGAAACGATAAGTTGACAATTTCTTTGACAGTTAAAGTGCGACCACCGCCGCCGCCGCCACCACTGGGACCGCCGACACCACTCTTGACACCACTGGGACCGCCGCCATCACCACTACCACCACCTCCTCTACCGTTCGCCAGATAAACGTTTCTTAGAGTCCAATTAGTGGTCATATCAACGCCAGTCAACCAATCATTGATTTGTTTTCTCTTGTGATACAAACCCATACCAATCAAAGTGGGAATTATTGCAGTCCTAAATGTATTCAATTAAAACTCATTAAATTATAATAAATTAATTATTTTTTATAATCATTTTATGGAAAATTAAAATCAAATCTATAATTAAGTCAAAAGTATTGAATCGATTATCGATAGAAACCTAAGACTAGAAGTGGTGACCAAATGGATAGCCCTAAACATGACTGTCTGTTATGTCTTCTAAATTATTGGTCAAACAAATACTTAAATAACTTATTAAACTAATTGTTTGATTTGAAACAACTGTTAATTTGAGTAAATATGAAGAATTGTTGACAAAATGTCTTCAAAATGTCTTTACAGATGTTTCGACAGAATTATCGAATCTCTGCAATAAAAGTTCATTCAATTAAAACTAAAATTGTTTTACAGTTTCTATTTGTTCATTACATGACATAAGCAAATGTTTGTCAATTGTTGTATTCAATACATAATTATTATACTTTACTATATTTTACATTAATTTATTAAATAGCAATTTGTTTTTATATTATTGATTAAATCCATTATTATACTTGTTTTTTTTATAAATAAAGTTATAAATTCTGTTAATATAAACATTATAGAAAATATTAAGCGCTTTGTTTCATGATATCATATACTATTGTACAAAATTGATTGTATTACAAATTCATAAAATATTTTATTTTTAATGTATTGAAATTTTGAATAATCAAATACAGTATTTTACAATTTATTAAAATCATATAAATTTTAAAAGTATTTCAATAAAGTTACTATAATTATATGCTATTTCAACGTTATAATAAACTATAATCAAATATTTATTACATTTACTGTTTAATGTATTTCTRTTAATAAGATTGTTTTTTTTTGTATTATGCATATCATTTAGTAACAGACACAACAAAATTTGAAATTCAAGTATACAATAAATATGTATTTGTTTTTTAAAAGTTTTATTTATAAATCAAATAAAAATATGTAAAAATCAAATCGCAAACTTGTTTATCTATATTAAAATTAATATTAATATATGAAAACTTATAATTTATATTAATATTATTGTTTTTATATAGATCTTATGGTTGTTTATGTAGTTATGAGTCCTAACTTATACCTAAACAAAGTGTGCTTTTGACCCGTTTTTAGCTCTGCTTATAGAACTCATCTAAAAATTATATAAACCGTTTATAATTAGACTAATAATAGTTTAAAATAATGATATAAATGTAGTAGAAATAGTAATAGAAATAGTAGTAGAAATAGTAGTAGAAATAGTAGTAGTTGTAGTCAATTATAACAATTGAAAAAATATAATTATCGGGAAAACATCACTACAAATGTCTATACCTAAGTCATCAACATATTATTAGTGTCATTGGAGTGTCACAAAAGTTATGGCAAAACTACTGTATTTATGTAAACCTTGAGATAACATATAAGTGATCCAAATGTTGTATGAATTTATATTTATAGGTATAAAATATTTAGACCATAAATGAAGAAATTAAATGAGACATAACTTATACCTATATATCATATATATATTGTATAAAATGTTTGTTTTTATAGTTTACAAACTTTTCTTCTTATTTTAGTTCAAATAATAATAATTATTATTATTATCCTCTTTTTTTGTCTACCAATTGATTGTCTATCACATGAATAGACTATTGAATAGCACATAACTAACCATCCAATACAAATAGCACTCAATATTATGTCTACCTTTTCCTATACTATTAGACTCAGAGCTGTTTTATTGTGAAAAAAGACTAAACAAAATATATAATCAAAGGAATGTCAAAAATCTCTTTAAATGAAAACATTTGGAGAAAAACCACTCATTTTTATGCACTCATTGTCTGCTATTCAATGGATTGAATGAATGATAAAAAATAGGAACAAATAATCAATTGATAAGAGCTTTTCATAAATGTATATAAAAAAAGTTTGTTTTATATGTATCGTCAAAACCGCAACAAACTCGCGGTCATTACAATAGTCTTTATTTCATACAATACCATAACATATCAACAACTTATTAATCGCAAAAATTGTTATTTTTTCAATCAAATTGTTTATTTTATATCTTATCTTTATATTTTTTGTTAATTTATTAAATAATAACTAATTAAAAATGTTAGATTTTTTTAGGGAAAAAAATATTTTTTTAAAATAAGGTTATAATAAATAAATAATACTAAATATTAAAGTATTTGTTTGATTAAGCAATCATTTGATTTTCTAAATTAAATTAATTTAAATGAATAGTTATTTGAATGCTTTAATAAAATACCAGTTCTGGTGAATCAAGTGTTGTCTCATCTGATTAAACATATATATTAAAAACAATTAAACTTAATTATGTGTAACTATTAGATGAAAGCAAAAAACAACAAACACTTTGAACTTTATTTAAATGTTATAATTTTAAAATGTCTTTAATTATATTTGTTAAACAATAATTGTAATTATGATAATCGTTATGACATTTGTGGCCATCATTTCAAATGAGGGCTGAGCTGACCGTTGATATTAATGTCACTGAAGGCGAGTGACACCAAATTAGTTTAAAATACAATACAATACCATTTTAACTGATGTGTTAGTTATTGTCATATCTCTTAACCACAAAACCCAATCTCACATCTATTAACAACTAATTTAATTGTAGTTTAAATTTTTATAAAAGTTTTTATACAATTACTAGTCACGAAACATATGACAATTGTATTCAAAGTTTATTATTATATTATGAAATTTTAGACATATTTTTTGAAAGCATATTATTTTGTTTTATATACTGAATATTAGTTCATTTCAACTACATTTGCCTAAATAATATTAATACATTATAAATTTATGTATTAATTATTACGGTAATCATATATCTTAACAATGGTCTTCAAAAATGATAATTATAAGACTTTATGGACAATGTTGAATAAATTTGTTGTTTAGTAATATAACTTTAAATAAGCTAATAAATATATAGTTTATGTTTAAGATAAATTTATTCAACATACTGTAGTTCATTAATTCATATAAATTATCATCATTTAAATCTCATTGTCAATCATTATTAATGTAAACTTAATTATATATGTTTTAAAAATTTATGGTTAAAAATTTTGAATTACTGTAAATCTAAAATTAAAGATTTCATTTTAATAAAGTTAAAAACAAAAATATATTTTGAACATATATTTGAATATTTCATGAACATTAAAATTTATTGTACTGTACTTTATTTACTCTATTAATACTGTATATTATACAGTGTATAATATCTACAATAATAAAGTATTATAACAAAATATAGAAGTAAATATAAAACAAAAATTGTCTTATTGTTTGTAATATTTTATTATCTAAAAACTAAAGATTTTGTCAAAAAATAAACTACAGTAATGTATGATTTTTTATAATATTAAATTAAATTATTGTTTTTTTAATTGTTTGTTGTTTTATACTTTTATTTATTTAAGATTATGTCATTAAATTAAATTATTGTACGATATATTTACTGTACAAACAAAGCATAGATTATTTACGTATATAAAAAATATTTTTAAAAGATAAGTAAAGCACAACACAAAGTGATAAACTTAATGGTAAACTAAATAATAAACTAAATGATATTTTTACAGTATTATTACATTTATAGATAATTTGCTAAATTATTTAATTTAATTTTTAACATAAAAAGAATATTATACCGGTATTTAAATTATATTGTATTGTATTGTATTAGTGAATATTAAAATTTAGTGATATTAAAAAGGAAAAGTATAAAAATAAAAGTTTTAATTTATATATTAATTTTATTGTTATATTATTAAAAATTATTAAAAATACAGTATGAATTATAATTTAAGCATGGTAATTACATTGAAATTAATATAAACAGAAATTGAATTATTTTTCGTAAATAATAAGTTTTATTACTTAAGACATGTGACTTTAAAATGATTTTTGTTATATATACTGTTTTAATATTTTGTTATAATATATATATATATACAGTATATTAAAAAATTATTTAAACAGTTTAATAGTTTTATATCCATAATTATATTTATATAAATATCATGCGTTTCACTCATCATTAGTTTTGTTATGCAATTTAATCGTCAAAAATAATCATTTAAAGTCATCCAGTTTTGTATTTTGAGGTCAATGAGATTTTCAATGATCTCCCTGTGCTCGACCACAACTTAATTTTTATTTCAAAACCATATTTTTTTATATCCATACGGTATGTAAATAATTATAAGTTATTAAATTTATACAAAATATTTTTGCTTTAAACCATATTATTTTTCTATCATTAATAAAATTATTGCTTAATAATATTTTTTTCAAACAAATTCATATCAAATTGGGTGTTGAATATACAAACAATTGCCATAATAGTACTATGTATTCACTATAATGTATTATTACTAAATTATTATTTTCTATATAATAAAAATGAGTTTAAAACTGATTTATAATAAAGTTTTGTTTTGTTAGATTATTATACCTATTGTTTTGGTGCTTTAAATATGAATTGTATATAAATAATATATAAAATGGATATAACATTCAATAGTTACTATTTTACACCCTTTAGGGCTAAACAGTTATATTATATGCTAGAGTTGAATGAGAGGAAAGATAGATAAGGGGAACGATATATAGAGGGAAAGGCTTGGAATACCAAATGTTTTTAGTTGAGGACAAACCAGTTATACAACTTTAAATGAAATACTTGTATTACCTAAGCATTGACAACCAAAGAAATGTTATGTTATTTAGCGATACATTTGCTGAGAGTTGGTATCATAAAGTTGTTGTGAACTTCATGTGAGAGTTAATACTAAAAGAATCAGCGATTCATTGAACTGAAAGAAGTCTCAAACAAAACACCATTTGTTAAGAGAAAACTTTTTTTCAATAATTATTTTCATAACATTTCAAAACCGTTAGTTTTTACGGACAGTTTGTTCTGTGAAAAATGTGAACAAAAGTTTAAAGTGATTTTACATTAATTATATATATTTTGACACTAAATTAAACATTAGTTTGTGTGTCAATTAGTCAATTGCCCTAAACATGGATAGCAAACATCAGGGCTCGACATACGAGTCATCGCCAGACTTGGAGTACATTGACTATCAACTCAATTATGTCCGCAATAGTCGTTCAATAGGTGTTTTGTGGGCCATCTTTACCATGTGTTATGCCATCATCAATGTTGTTGTCTTCATTCARCCGCAATGGTTGGGCGACACCGAGACGTCTCCAGGAACGGGATATTTTGGTCTTTGGAGGTCTTGTCGATTGCTTCAGGACGGACAGGACCTGATATGTGAGGGACGGTTAGATGATTTCAGTACAATATCCACTCCTGCCTTTCGTGCGGCCACTGTGTTCATCGGACTGTCTGTCCTCACAATTATGTTATGTTTGTTAGCAATGCTCTTATTCTTCTTCCTTCACTCGTCGACAGTGTTTCACATCTGTGGTTGGCTTCAGGCAACTACTGGTAAATTATTTTGCAATCATTTTAGTTACTAAATAATAAAATGACATTAAATATGAAAATTATCAAATTATTTTTGGTATTATTATTGCATTTTATATGATAGTATACTGTGAATATTATATACTAAATATTAAATAATTATTTATTAAAATTACTAAAACAGACATTTATTTTTACATTTTTGAAATTATTCTGATTTTTACAATTAAATATAGGAATAAAAATAGTTTTCTGTAGTTTTTTAGTTTTATTTTGAAAATTTGGATATTTCTGTGTTAATGTTATATTTCTATTAAATATTTTTTAGTTAACTAGAAATTATAGTTTTAAACGTTAGACATTTTTTAAAAAATATTATGGTTATCTTTTTAAATATATCATAAAATTTTATCAATTATGAGAAATATTTAAACTTTGACTTTTTGTGATTTAAGATATTTGTTTTGAGTTATTAGTAATTTTATTATAAAATTACATTTTTAAAATGTTTTTAGCACAGTGTGTAACACCCAACTTATCTATTTCATATACAATAGCTATAATTCATCAGTGGTTTTATTTATAAAAAAAACATTTAATACAATATTCAATTTCTGTAAATATTTTTTTCGTGAGGAGAAAGTTTTAAAAATATTTTTTAATGACTAAATATAAATAGTTTCATATTGTTTTCACATTTTATTTGATACAATAGTTTTATAATGAAAAAACATTTTACTTTTGCTTTTTAATGATGAATAATAGTAATAAAAAAGTTATATTCATTTTAGCTCTATGTATGTCAGTGGGTGTCCTCATATTCCCTGCCGGATGGGACGCCCCCTCTGTCAAAGAGGTTTGTGGTAATGAAGCGGACAACTATGCCAGTGGACAGTGCGGTCTTCGGTGGGCATTCATTCTGGCCATTATCGGTGTCATTGATTGTATCGTATTATCCATATTGGCCTTTGTTTTGGGCACACGTTATGTCAAATTATTGCCCGATCAGTATATTAGTAACAAATCTACATATATTAATAAAGGTTTTCACTCGAGTCTAGTTTTATAAATGTTTTATAAAATACATTTAGTTTTTATACTATATTTTATGTTATCATAGGAGCCTTTACTATATATTGAACTCAAGCAATACATTTGACAAACATAAAAAAGCCTCAAGAAAACGGTCGGCATATTTTGACCACTGGTCAACATATTGTTTAAATTATTATTATTAATCGTTTTCAACATTTTTATATTTTTTTGGGTCATTTTTTACATCACTTCATTTATAGTTATAGACGTATAGCACATATTTAACGATTAATCAGTTTATTATTTTCATATTTCAACCATTAATTATTATAAAAGTTTTAGTACAGGATTTGCAAAACTAAATTATACTTCAAATTATAATTGCTAATTTATAAAATATACGTGTTGTTAATTAAATCATTAAAACTTTAATTAAATTTTATTTTGTTTTTCTATATATAAATTTTATGCTATAATAAATAATATATATATATATATGTATATTTTTTAATTCATAAGTTCATGTATCTTTAAATACAGTATAAAATATTATTAGTAATTATTTTATTTTATTTTGTTGTACATATTCTTGTAATAATTATTTACTCACACATACAACAAATAAGTTTAAAGTAGGAAAAAACAAAAAAAAATTGTCAAAAAAAATAATTAATTTGTAATTTTAAAAATCTTAGATTTAAAAATAATTATTATTTAACATATACTCTATATGGTAATCATAAAAAACTACTGATTGTGATATAGTATTGATAAGTTATTGCAAAAAATAATGTTTAAAATTATTGTTATTGAAAAGTAACAAAAAATTGATAATAAAGATTTGTTTTTTTTTTTTGAAAAATATTGATTAACAAAAAAATGTGTTTAATATATATTCAAAATGTAACCTATTTATTCAGGCTAATCATGCATTTGTGATTAATTCACTAAATATTATATTAACCACTAAAATATCATATGATATAAGTTATTAGAGCCTAACATTTTGCATAATAATAATAAAAAAAATAATTTTTTATAATAATAATCTTTCAATTTTTTTAAGGATGAGACATTAATAGCAATTAATTTGTATATTATTAATGTTTATATTGAAACTATTTTTAATACAAATATTTCAAAACTATTATAATCTATATATAAATTATGTTTCAATATTGAAATTAAAGGTAAATTTATTAAAAGTTTATATTTAATTATAAAATAACATAATTTATGAATAGTTTGATAAAATAAAAGTTTGCGATGTTTTCTAAATTTAATGTTTACTAAAACTCAATGCAATACAAGTGTGTAATATATATAACATATAACTAATAGACGATTATTATTATTAAAGCGATTGCTATTAAAGTTGTTGAATGAAAGCCAAGAGTGCATTGAAATGTGTGAACAAAACAGTCTATCAATTGATTGATGTTATGATTAGTTGATTTGTCGACTTGTCTTTTGGTCACACAATTTGATTGTCATTATTGTTTGACAAAATTATGTCCGCCGTTGCACTTCTTCAACATATCACCAACTGATCCATCAAAATGAATGCCAACTTTCAGTTTGAATTCAATAAATACATTCAACACAAGAGACTGCTGAAGAAGATCTTCGATGAGACACTGATTGCCATCAATGAGGTGGCCATCAGTGACTACTTTACCAAAGGTTAGTCACAAACAATCATTTTAGTCAATTGATTGACATTTTATTAATAAAACAAACAATTGTTTTGCATTTCATGTACAATAAGTTTCTCATGTATTGCAATGTAATTATAAAGACATTTAAATGTTAATACATTTATAATCAATTGTTTTTTATTAATTGCAAACAAACAATATATCAAAAGTGTTTTAAAATATATTTTCAAATTGTGTTTTAAAGTTGTTTTTCGGAAAATTATCGACAAATTTATTGACAAAATTATCATTTATTTGTTTTATACGACAACACATTGCGTAATAACAATCTGTATAACATTTTAAACATTTATTGCTGTAGTGTTTGAGATAATTGTTATAATTTTTGTTTGTCTATTAATTTTAATCAATATTTCTATTATTGACTTAAAATTTTCAATTATATATATTATAATATAGTTGTATAGTAATTGATAAACATATTAAGTTTAAGTATATTGTTTTAAAATTAAGGAAATTTTATTATTTTTTAAATAGTTCATTAACTTTGCTAAAAGTTTTTTTGACTATAAGTAACAAAAAAGTTTTTATTAAAGGATTGCAATAATATACTCAATGACTCGTAATATTTTATCAATACTACATAAAGATATATATATATATATATACATATCATTAGGATATTTTTAAATAATTAAATTAATATCTTATTTTAGTTTTTTTTAAACTAATAATCAGTTTTGTTAAAAAATTATTGTTTTTTAGCGATCATTTCTAATGTAAAAAAGTTTGTTACACTCAATAACTAAGTGACAAATAATTATTTAAAATAAGTGACGCCTAAAGTGTTGATCAGTGAATAAAAAAAAACTTTGTCACCAATAAAATGAGTGATAATTATATAATTAATTTAATTTAGAGTAAACAACATCAATTAATTATTTATATGGTTTTTATCTAAAGTATATTGATTTAAAAAAAATAATTTTCAAATCATTTACTTAATTTACTTTAACACTTATCTAAATAACTCTTTAATGAATCGATTGATTTGTCAAACTTATCGCACAATTTCCTAATCAAATGTTTAAACTTTTTTAAAATGCAATTTTTGAGAAATTTGTCCAAAACACGAGTCTATTGCTATATAACTTATTACTATTATCTATAATTTTGTGTTTTTTAGATATTGAAAAATAATAGTGTCTTTATATTATTTGAAAACGTGTTTTACAATATTTAGTCTAAATATAGACATTAATGTGCAGCCAATTGATCCAAAGGGCGCCAGATTTTTACAACAAGTGATATATCCCAGTGATTGATATTTAATATCAATCATCAATTTGTATGATTAGTTAGTCTTATTTGTTATAAATTATTTCACGTGTAATGTACTCAACATTTTCTGGTTGATTGAAATTCAGATCAATTTTCGGAGATAAGCCTTAAAGAAGAGGATGAAAAGTTTATCCGTGAGATCATTGAGACACCCATTGGTATTGTTATCTTGGGATCAAAATCATGGGCTAAAGCAATGGTCGTCAATGAGCTCCTGGGCTGTACTCTTCTTCCTGTATGTCATTTGAAAAGTTAGAAATATAATTAAAATTATACTATAATTAGATATTATTTGCACCGTTAGGTTGAATGTAATGAAAAGACAAATCCGTGGCGAACTGTAAGATGTATGTATGGCTCACAAACAGTGGTGTCATTAGCTGTAGCGCATTGCTATGAATTGGTTGAACATTTGGCTGCCTATGATCAGGCGTGGCATACAATACCACAAACTGATCTTCAGCTCAAACCTGGCGATGCAAAGGCTGCTCGCGATCCGGGATATCATTTGGCAACTCTTGAAGTAAAGCTTCCTCACCCTCTGCTTAAAGATGACGTCCAAATAGTTGTATCGCCCGGACTTAAAGACTTTGATGTCATCTATTCGTGTTGTTTTGAAAACATTAATCCAATTGTAATTTACGTCATCGCTGCTGAAGATGAATGTCTGTCACCTTTAGATGTTCAACATTTGTGTGACTTTCGGGTCAAAGAGCCAAAGATGCCGGTATTCTTTGTTAAGACAAGAGAAGTAGTCAAACAACCATTGACTCCTTCTCCAAGTATTGTAGAATTTAGTCCATCAGAACTGACTGAATCACAACAGCACTGGTATTATAGGCAACAATCAATTCCTATGGGATCTTCAGTTGCAACAATGAGTGCTAGTCCTCCCATAATGTCAATGGCTGTCCCCTCATCTTCACTGCCAAACACACATTTTGTTGACGTCTTTCATCGAAGTTCTACATCAATGGCATTATATCAACAATTATCTAATTTAGGTTTTTTGAACCAAAGTCATCATCACTTAAGAGGTCAGTTGACCAACGAATCGGTAGCCAAAAAGAGTCGTCGCGATTACTTTTTTGACGTGTCGTCAGAATTGGTTGAAAACTTTCACAACTTTTCATCTGTTCTTCTATTCTTTCGTAATATATTGAGATGTAATTTGGTTTCGGCGGCCACTCTACTCAATGAATCACACAATCATTGTCTTCGTATGTTTATATTAACAGCTTTTGATATGACATGGGATTTGCAAATCACACCAAAGCGTATTGAATACGCAAAACAAAGAGAAGCCGAACTTTTCTCATCTTTGATGGCCATCGCCAACAAAAAGCAGGAAGAAATTCGCCAATTGATTACCGAAACTATAGATTTTATGCGATCCGATATATTGAATCAGGCGGCAAGTCATGAGTTTACTAATCCTATACTAAACTTCACTAATATGAGTGCTCGTGAACTACACAACTGTACCGATGAGATACAGGACTTAGTGTTGACACTATTGAATAGTGCCATTGCATCCAAATTAGTCGGTTCTGTTGATTACATGCGTGAGTCGTTTATCGGTACTCTTGAGCGTTGTCTCCTTTGTTTAGAGAACTCTTGCAGAGAAGCCGGAGATTCACCCGAGACTTCGGCTGCACTTAAAGAGATTTTGAACGCCGCGTATCAAATTGAGGTCAACATAAAGACATCGCACAACATTTTGAGAGTTTTGTGGGAAAAAATGAAATCATTAGTTCAAACAATCTCATGGAAACCATATCCTACGGTAGACTCCGAATGGAAGAAAAGAGTGGCCAACGATGTACTCGACAGTCTCAGTGAGTCGAGACTCGCCAAAAGTATTTGCCTTCAATTTCGAGATAAACTTAAACAATCTCACGATTATTTCATTTTATCACTTAAACAGTTAGGTATTAATTACACAATTAATGTGTTTTTATATTTGTATTATTGATTTTACGATTTTAWATTTTGAATTACAGAGGCCTTACATACGGGACGAATGCGACGTACGGATGACCGTAGAGAACAGGTCCGTAAAAATCATGCGCCAGGCTTTGCCAGGTTTGCGTTAGAGTCCACTTCACTTATTGATGTGATAATTCATGGAATGCCTCAATTGGGTCGAGAGATAGGAAGGGGACAGTACGGTGTTGTGTACTCTTGYAATAAATGGGCCGGACATTCTCCCTGTGCTATCAAATCAGTGGTACCACCCGATGATAAACACTGGAATGATTTGGCGATGGAGTTCTATTATACCCGTTCCATACCAGAGCACCCGAGAATTGTACAAATAAGAGGTTCTGTTATTGACTATACATATGGAGGCGGTATTACTCCGGCAGTGCTTCTCATTATGGATAGAATGGTCTGTGATTTATACGCAGCCATTAAAAATGGTTTAGATTGGATGGCCAGACTTCAAGTGGCCATTGATGTAGTTCATGGAATCCGTTTTCTTCATGGACAGGGATTAGTTCACAGGGATATTAAATTAAAAAATGTTTTACTCAATAGCAAGAATCGGGCAAAGATTACAGATCTTGGATTTTGTAAGCCGGAAGCTATGATGTCCGGTTCCATTGTTGGCACTCCTATACATATGGCACCCGAACTGTTCTCTGGTCGTTACGATGGAATGGTTGATGTCTATGCATTTGGTATACTCTTTTGGTACATCTGTGCCGGTCATGTGCGTCTTCCCTATGTATTTGAACAGTGCCAAAGCAAAGATCAATTGTGGACAGTCGTTAAAAAAGGTCAATTAACCAAAATGTTTATTTCAATGTAATTGTTATTATTTTTATTATACAAACAGGTGCTCGACCCGAAAGATTGCCTCAATTTGATGACGACTGTTGGACACTAATGGAGCAGTGCTGGAATGGAGACCCAACACTTAGACCATTGTTGGGAAACGTCGAGTCAAAACTGGTCGAAATCAAAGAGTTTTATCGCAAAAGTCAACCGCCGACCGGCTATACTAAGAACTATATGCGTACCTCTAAAGTCAACAAAATTCGTGTTAAAAATTAGATCTTTATTTTTTAATAATAATATCACTAAATGTAAATGTTTTTTAGAAAATAATTTTTATTTGTCCTTAATTTATGAAATGAATATTTACTAAATGGTTTACTAAATAGATTTTGATAATAAAAAAATTTTTAATAATTAATTTAATATTCTTTACGCCAAATAGTTAAGAGAATCCTTATCGTCTTTATTTCTTTCCAAATATTCTCTATTAATAAGTTCATCGATTCCTTTCTTAATCATTGGAACCGTTGGAATAAATCGGGCGCCGATTTGATTGAGAACTTGACCGATCAGTTCTTGATATTTCAAATTTTTCCGAGTCTTCATTATGCGTACGATTGCAGCCTTAAAGACAAATACAATTAGATTTAAAATTTATTTGAAAATTATTTGTTTTAAAGTAAACCTCAATCACGTATTTGCGTCGCTCATCAATCTGGCGATGAGTTCTTTCATCGTCCTCTTTAGTCTCGACTTTTATCGGGACATTGATATTAATCCTTAGCTTTTTGTTGCGATATTTCTCATTTAATTTGATGAGATGTGTAGGCAATACGGCACCACCGGCTTGAAGATCATCACAGAGTAAGAGTTTTATCTTAAGGAATATATTCAAGATTTGAATCAAATATTCCATTTTAATGTCGGTATTTGTCTGTAATTCCTGAACTGACATTTGACTGTATCTGTTATATAACAACATAATCGATATCTGGAATACACTTGCCTTTAAAAATACAAAATTATTAAATTATAAATATTTTAGCATAACTTAGATGAGTCTAACCGTAAAAGTGTAGACTCTATTATCAGGAGTACGGTATTGTATCTCTCCCTTAGACTTTGCATAAACCCACGTAAGTTTGCGTCCCTGATGTTTGTTTATATAAAATGCTGTATAACTATTAACACCGGTTTCTAACTATAATAGTCAAAGAGAAAAAAACAATTGCAATAATAATAACAACAATAATATTATATAATTTAGTTGTATATTACTTCATGAGGAATCTGAAAATCTGTTTTGATGTGAGCAAATGGTGAGGCACTCATACTTATCACTTTCACTGTAAAATCAACTTTAAAACAAACAAATTATTTAATTATCAATTTAGTATTAATGGTGTCATTACTTGGCAATTGAACTGCATTTTTRAACTGTTCGTTCAATTCAGTGCTGAGATTAACATCTTGAAAGATACGCTGCAATTTGTTTGTATACTCCACACCACAGGTTTCCTATTATCGGTAATTAAATCAAATCAATTAAATTATCAAATAATTATACAATTTATAAGACAAACCTTTAGTTTACTCAAAATGCTAGACTCAGCGTCATTATCTACAGTGTCTTGAAGAAGACGTTGTGTCATTAACTTAAGATAAAAGTTATTGAAGACATCCTTATCGGTGATAAACCTAAATATTGTGATCGCTTGACTCGAAAGAACCTCAAGTTCTAATTGATCCACAGTTTTGGCTTTAGTTCGTAGAAGATGATCACAATATTTGGCTATCAATTCCGGAGTCTTCTTTGATTTAATGGCAGACAGTTCTGTTACTTTGTTAGAGTTAACAAAGTTTATTGAAGCCTATAGTTTGCAAATAATTAGATAATTTAAATAATTATTTTATTACAGTATTTAACTAAAACATACGGAATCTAATGCTTTAAAAAACCCGTTGTCATCACTTAGCGATTCTTTCAACAAATTTCGATATTTGTTATAGACTTTCCAAATAATGTTGAAATAGGTTTCCGGATCTTCAGAAGCAACTGTCACTTGTTTTTCAATCTCTTCGAGACCTTCTTTAGTGATGTGCTTCAGAAAAAAATTGCACAATTGATCGACAGCTGTCTTAACACGAATGACCAGCTTATAGAGTGTCGCCAATTCTGATTAAACAACAAAAACCTATATTAATAACAAACATAATAAACACAATTACAAAGTATTTACGAGTGATATTATCTCCATTAAGCAATTTCTTGAATTCTTCACTAAATCTTTCAATTTGTTTGACAATTAAAGCTCTTTCAACCGTTTCAATGAGTGGTTGCATAAGACTTTCGTTAAGATATCTCTTCACTCGATTTCTTTCTTCTTCTAAACGAATCGTACACTTATTCATGTAATCAGTGAATGAATTCTTCTCTAAGAAGGCTTCACTTTCATTAGTGTAAAACACTTCCGTCTGTTCGATGAATGGCTTCTGGAAAGACTCTTCAAACACTTTAGCCGTCTCTTCGTCTACTTCTCGACCGATTTGACTTAACTCGACTTTTAGATAATATAAAACATAAAATTAGAAATTTATACTCAAATAAATTTAATTCAAAGATATACCAAAACAGTCGACAACTCCACTGACAAGACTAGTGTTAATATATTCTCCATTTCTGTCTTTTTCAATGAGTCTGAGAACACATTGAGACACTTTGACACCGAAATCGTGAAGCAAACTGTTTCTCCACTCAAGTTTGGCTAACTTTTTATCAAATAAAATGTCAAAAACACTTCTTGTGTGACAATAAGTCAAAAGCATTACTTACGACTTGAATCTCTGGGATCTGTCGGTCAGTGTTTGAATTACAATAAAAACGATTAATATAACTGCAAACACCGTTCAGGACTTTACTCGAGAACTTATAGTCAGTCCATTGTTTAGTATAAAACGCAAGAAGTTGTTCTTCATTTGGGTATTCATTGCATTTCTGTTAATATAACAAATGGTTAGYATTCAATACAACTGATACATCACTTCTTATGATTCATACCTTTCTGAGTCCTTCAATATGTTTGTTAAAGAATTCTTGGATTCGTTTATAAATCAATTCTTTAATATTAGCCGATCGACCATTTGGTAGATCACTTCCTCTTTGAGATGTGCATCGATCGTGGATCAGACTATAGCATCTCATGTACTCTTCCTGAGACATTTGCTTCTTGTCTTCAGCAAAGATAATTTCAATTGTATGATCAAATTGATCCATAAACTTATCCGTCGCTTCCATCTCTTTGCTTTGATTTCCTCTCTTTGGTCCTAAAATACACAGACATCACAATTAATGGATCAGTTGTTAAATAAATCGTTATTTTTTTGCAAACCTTTTCTCGTCATTTAAATGAATCAAATAGTCGTTGAAAAATAAAATTAATTTKATTTCAATATATATTAAATATATTTAATTTAATGAATCAAACGATTAGTGTTTCGTCAACAATGAGATTGCAATCAATAAATGTGTTAAACGTTTGCAACTAATTGTTAAACAAAAATAAAGTCAAATGTATTCATAGATTACATTAATTTTTTATTYAATTAATGAATCAATCAATCAATTGATATATTAATAGTTGAATTGATATAACAGTGCAATCATTAGTCGACAGTATTTCAGATCTCAATTGCAAACCAAGTGTTTGTGTTATCAATACGTCATGTGTTCTAACATTTGGTGCAATTTTTTGTCATTGCATTACATATTATATAACGTAACCATTTGTTGTTTATGTTTATTAACAACCCTTTTAACTGATAATCCAAAACCATTTTTATCGTTAAAATTATAATTTCATTAATATTTCTATCACTTTGTTCCCCAAAACAGATTATTACGTTGTTTATGAACAACCCATTTGTTTTATGCCAATTACAGCAAATACATTATACACTCATTATATAATTTGCTAAAAGTTATAAATGTTTTATTTGAAATTAAATTKTAATTTCAATTTTATTCAATTTAAAAGTTGAATAAATCAATTATTTTAATTAATTAATTGTAACTTTAAATTATTAATAATTACAAAACTTTTTTATTTATATGTTATGTATATTTAACGAGATTCTAATAGATTGGTTAATACAGTAATACTTATTTAGCATAACTTATAAAAAAGTTTTATTAAAATACTATATTTTATTTAAATAATAAATTATTAATATTTTAATATATATTTAAAATATTACACTTAAAATAATTTATAAATAATATATTTAAACTTAATTTAGTTTAATTATATCATTAAGCGATCGTATAATGAGAATCAAGTTATTGATAGAAAGTATAAAATTTAAGTACATTTTTAGTATTAAATAAAGAAAAACTATTTTTAAAGTTTGAATTTGTTTTAAACTTTTGTTTATATTTATCTGTTTTTGTCAGTCAAACACTGATTTTTTTTCAATAAATAGTTTTTATTTATGAGTTAAAACTTTTAAGTTAAAAGTGTTTTTAGTCGATAATTAGGTTTAATATTATATTTACGTAGTTTTTACTAAAATAAAATAAAATAATTGTTTTCAAAAAATATATAATTAATTAATTCATATAAATTCATATAATTTTTAATAATTAGTATTTTTATCTAAATTGATCATCACTTGTGGTACTATTTGAAGACATGAGTAACCGTTTGACACGTAGAGTCATTGACACCAATAAAGTGCCGAAATCTCGAGTAAATATCAAATATGATAAACACTTGTATTTTTTGTATCTTTAAATTATTACTAATAATGAGTTAAATATTAAGTTTTAATAAATAATTAGATAAATTAATAATAATATTCATATTGACCATGATCATTTATTATTTATTATTAGTCATTTAACTAAATTAATCACTTATGAAACACAGTTTTTTAGACAATTTATTTAACGATAATAGTAATTATGAATATTAATAGTAAATGTCATACAATTACTAGACTATGAATATGTATAACACATTAGTTATAAAGTTTAGTACAAAATCTTGAAAGTTATTTCAATATTTGACACAAAAATAATTGAATATATAAATGTGCATGTTCAGTTTTCAGTTTTCAATTATTTTTAATTTTGATATTTATTTAAAAAATAAATAAATTTCTGAATTAACTGATATTCAGGTGGAACTACATCTTCATTTGGGTGGTTCGGTCCGGTTGTCAACAGTTTGGGAGTTATGTCAGAAAAAAGGTAAAGAAATTTAAATTATAATTTCAATTACCGATAGTAYTCAATATATATGTAATATATTTAATTACTTGTGATATAAAAGGTATTAAATTGACCACAAATGGCACATTCAAAGAGTTGGTCGACTTTTGTGTGATTAAAAAACCGGGAAAATTGATTGATTTTTTGAACATTTTGTCACATTATGGACGGATTCTGGTGTAAGTTATTGGCAATAGTTTTGGTATATATAAGGCATTTGTTGTTGAAGTTTTGAACGAATGTTAAAATGACAATTTAACAAGTTTTAGATACCAGCCCTCACCTCCCGTTCCTTCCCTCCCCAAACACTACTTCCTAACCCTCCACACCCACCCCAACCTAACCTAAATAAAGTAATAAAATAGTACTGCATTTATCATAAATTTAATGTCAAACTTCAACAACAAATGCGTTATATATACCGAACTTTTGTCAGTTCTTGTATTATCACCATTGGATTCGACAACAAATTTAAATTTTATTTATAATATAAAAATAGCGGCGACGCCGACACTTTTGAACGATGCGCTTATGAGATCTGTGAGGATGAGGCCAATGATGGTGTCCTATACTTTGAGTTGCGAACGGCTCCACATCTCGGATCAAATATAGTCAAAAAAGGACACAACGATCCCATTATTGCGGCTAATCATCCAAATGCTTGTTCACCGAAACAAGTGGTTGAAGCCGTRCTGAGAGGTCTAAAGCGCGGACAACAAGATTTTGGTATACATTCAGCCCTTATATTGTCGTGTGTTTGCGGTTATCCCGGTTTGTAACCAAACATTTCGATTTAATAGATATTTATTTAGTTTAAATGGTATCATATTTATAGAGTGGAGTGAAGAAGTGCTACAACTCGCACAAGAATATCGAGACAAAGGTGTTGTTGGTATTGATATCGCCGGACAGGAGGACATGAATCCAGATTTAACACATAGTTTTACACAAAATGAAGTGATGGTCTTCAAGGCAGCTAAAGAGTTAGGCCTTCACCGGACAGTCCACGCAGGAGAAGCCGGTCCAGCAGTTAATGTTGAGTTTGCATTGGACTCGATGTTTGCCGAACGCATTGGACACGGATATAGTGTTATATTTGATGACAATATATACCAGAAATGTCTTAATGATAATATACACTTCGAGTTGTGTCCGCACTCGAGTTACTTCACGGGTTCCATAAATCCAATCAACAGAAATCCAATAGTCGTTTTTGCCGAAGACAACGCCAACTTCTCCATTAGTAAAGACGATCCAACAGTCACTGCCGTAACTCTCGATGAAGAGTATGATTATTGCCGTCAATTAGGTCTAAATGAGTCTCATATTACTCGAGCTGTAAGTTATATTATAATTGATTATTAAATTTATTACTAAATTTTTATTTGTTTCTCATTTATTATTTGCGTTAAACCAGAATTTGAATGCAATGAGAGCAGCATTTTGTTCATCAATTCTTAAGGAACAACTTCTTAAGAAACTTTACTCTATTTATGGATTTGAATAATATTTTTMAAATTTTACATTTTATTAAATTAAAGTCAAAACATTTTATCTCTAATTATAATTTCATTTTAATATTACAATTATAAGATTATTTGGTACTTTTAAATTTAAATATACAATTTATATAAATAAACAATAAATAAGTATTAACTACGAATTACGGTATTTGTATTTAATAGTATTTTTATCTAAAATAAAACCAGTTGAGAATGCTAGAAAGCATTTCCACACGAATTCCTAATCATAATTAAAAATTAAATTCAATATGATAAAATAAAATCAACTATAGTTATGTAGGGTATCAAATGATTCAGTATACAAAATAAACTTATTTTCCTAAAAAATAAGAAAAACGAAAAAAATGTTTTGATAAAAGCAAAAAAAAATCAAAAAAATTGTAGCGGATAGTTTCGAACCTATGTCCTCGTGGGACAGACAGACCGACAGACCGACTTATAGAATGCATATACGTATTCCTTTCAGGAATTCGTGATTAATTTTATGTAATTTTACTAAATAAAACTTATGATGTTTTGATGAAAAATTATTTACTGTAAATATGATTAAWTATTGTAAATATTGTATATGATTTAGTAATTTATAAAATTAAATTACCGGTAATATAAATGATGTATTATTGTTTGCAAAAATTAAAGTTTAAATTACCGGTAAATAAAAAAAACAAACAAATATTTCTTGATATTTGTTTTATTCAATTACCGTAAATATGTATTATGTATCTTATTTTAATTGTCTATTTCCGTCAGTCTCTAAGCATTTTTGTTTTCAAATTTTTTAATTTTGATTTCAGATTATTAGTAATTATTATTGTTAGTTAGGGTTATTATTGAAAAAAGTTAAAATAAATTATTTGAACAAAATTTAGAATTAGATTTATATATATAKATTATTTTTAATTGTTTAACATGGTTTGTAAATCTTTGTTTTATTAAATTATAAATTAAATAAAGTATATTTTAAAAAATTATTTGAAGCGAATATTTTAATTGAACAAATTGTTGATAAGTTTGGGTCATTTGATTTTGTGTATTACAAATTTTGTTTGACTTTATACTATTTCATGTATTTGTTTAAACTATTTAACAATATCTATTAATATTTATCAATTTTTTTTATAAATATTTATTAATTATATACCATTTATAATTAATGTCAATTATTAATAATAATATATACAATATTGATTAACTATAAAACGTTAATATCAATTATGATAATTACTATATTATTTATATTGTGTTATATTATGTAATTTATATAAAATTAATAAAATAATTTTTGTTATGGTGTTTGTGTAATATTTAGATTATTTTTAATTTAAATTATTATTTAAATTATTTTCTATAACAATAATATAATATAAATATTGTGATATTAATAATAATCAATAATCTAGCATAATGTTTTTAAAACAAAATTTATTGCAATTACAAYTTATTTAAATTAAATACCTTTGATATAAATTTTAATTTTGGTTATCAAAAATAATTTGTAAAATAACTAAAATTAATTTATCAAATTGATTAGTCAAAATTATTGAAATTTAACACATGGATGTCAAATATTTAAAAAATACATAACATTTATATTATTTAGTCTAATGACAAATTAATAATTATTACTATAAATGTAACGATTTTCTAATAAAATATTAATAGAAAAATCTTAATAATCAAAATAACAAATTTTAAATAATTTATTTATAAAAATAATCTACAAATGAATAATAAATCTATAAATCAAAAAATCTATTTTTTAAATATCAATTATACAGTATATTTGATATATATATATATATATTAATACAATAATTAATTAGTTTAATAAATTATCATGAATCATTTAAAAATAGATATTTTTCTTAATATATTTATATTAAGATATTATAATGATTATAATATAATCTTATATTATCAAGTTATTGATTATGGCCTACAAGTTAGGACATAAAAGTGTAAATACTATATAAATGATTAATCAAAATCTCATAATCATATCAAAGACTTGACATTTAAAAAGTTTTTAACATTTATTATAACTTTTATAAATTAAAAATTATTGTTAATAATTAATTTTATTTTAAAGTTGTTAATAGATATTTTATTTAGTAAATTTAGTAAATTTTATAAAAAAAATAATGTTTTTAATTAACCGAAAAGACATGGACACAATGAAAATTCCCAAATCACGAGTAAATACTTTTAAAAAAAATTTTTTGGTTTAATTTAATTGATTTTGTTTATAACACTAATTTTTATTATATTTACTTAATATTAGGTTCAATTACATCTTCATTTAGAGGGCTCAGTCAGACTGACCACTATATGGGAATTATCACAAAGAAAAGGTGTTTTTATATTACAAAATAAATTTTCATAAAATTATTTTTTAAAAATAAAAACAGGAATTAAATTAACGCCAAACGAAACATTTGAAGAGTTAAGAAATCATTATATAATGAAGAAACCAGAAAGTCTTGAAGTGTGTCTTAATTTAATCGCTGAATATTATCGTATAATTGTGTTGGTATTGCATTTAAAAGCTGTGTTTATTAATTAATTTATATAAATTATATTTGAAATAATATTTGATTGATTTAGTGGTGACGTCGAAGCTATTGAAAGAATTGCTTATGAATTATGTGAAGACCAGTTCTTACAGAATGTGCTGTACTTTGAGGTCAGAATGAATCCCCAGTACTCGTCAAATACTGTTGAAGAGAACCCACTGGCCAGAGGACAGGTAGTCGATGTCAATCATCCAAATGCATTGACTCCCAAACAAGTGGTTGAAACCGTATTAAAAGGTTTAAAAAGAGGAGAACAAGATTTTGGAGTTCATTCTTCACTGATTTTGTCGTGTATTACTATATTTAATGGTAATTGAATTAATGATTTTATTGTTAAAATGTTTGATATTATATATAAATATTGTAATATTATATTATGAAGAATGGAATGAAGATATATTAGATTTGGCTCAAGAGTTCAGAGACAAAGGTGTTGTCGGTATAGACATTGCTGGTCCCGAAAGTATGGATCCAGAAAACAGTCATACATTTAATGAAAAAACTGTTGAATTGTTCCGAAAAGCAAAAGAGTTAAATATTCACCGGACAGTTCACGCGGGAGAAGTAGGACCCGCTTGTAATGTTGCCTTTGCTGTGGACAAGTTGTTCGCTGAACGAATAGGACACGGATATAATGGGGTATTAGATGATGAGGTCTATCGCAAGTGTCAGTTAGCAAACATACACTTCGAGATCTGTCCCGTTTCCAGCTATTTAGCTGCCGGTGTCTCTCTGTCCGTCAAACACCCGGTTGTAAAGTTGGCCGAAGATTTAGCTAATTTTTCCATCAACTCAGACGACCCGACAGTTTTTGGCAATACTCTCGATGATGATTATCTTTTTGTCTCCAAAATGGGTTTAAATGAATTTCATTTAGTGAGAGCCGTAAGAATTATTTTTACAATTTATTAGACAATCTTTTTAAAAATTTTAAAACAAAATATTTATTAAATATTAGAATATAAATGCATTGAAATCATCGTTTTTACCGGAAAATCGAAAGCTTGAACTTTTGCAATACATTTATAAATTGTTTGGATTGTAATCTAATCTATGGCTCATTAATCTACGGTATTATTTGTTTTTAATTAAAAATTTTAGTTTTATTTTTGAAAATTATTTTAATACTCAATTTTATTAAATAATAATTTTAGTGTGTGTTTCTTTTAGGGTAATAATTATTAAACAAAATATTTACGGTATTTCAATATATAATGAACTTTACAGTAGTTTCAATAAATGAATCGTAAAAATTTATGATTTATAATTACAATAAACATTTATGAATGTATTTAACAAAAATTTTGATACAATTTGTTACAATAAAATATGAAAATATGACAAATGAATTGAAGAATATTATGATTTATAAAAAAATTAGACAATTTCTTTCAACTTATTATTAATTATTTGTTTGACAATATCTGCGTCAATGTTATCCATATTAGATAACTGATCGCCAATAGCTTTCATTACGTCCTCAATGGAACCGCTTTTCAATGACAATCCTTCCAGTTCTTTGAGTTTTTCTTTTGCATACTGTTTACAATAAAATTAATCAAAAATTGTTTAATAAATATGGTTATAATATAACAGATTATAATTTGGCATATATTTACATCAATAATTAGTTGCGGAAAGTTTGCTAATTGGGCCACATTTATGCCAAATGATTGATCGCAAACTCCATTATTTACTTTATATAAAAATGTTAATTTCTTATCAATGGTTACGGCAGACAAATGTAGATTTCCTATTGATGTTAACTCTTTGGACATTTGAGTCAATTCGTGAAAATGTGTGGCAAACAGAGTAAAAGATTTTATTTCTGTTACCAAATACCTATAATTTAGTTAATCAAATAAATATATTATTAAATTAACTTTTTTTAATTTAAAAAATTAAAACAAATACTCAGATATGGCTGAGGCGAGACCGAAGCCATCATAAGTAGACGTTCCTCTTCCTAACTCATCAATCACTACCAATGAATCTTCTGTTGCTGACTGAGAATATAATAAATTATTAATAAACATTAAAATAAAATTTATATACAAAATGGTATACTCTAAATATGGCAGCCGTTTCAATCATTTCGGCCATAAATGTAGAAATTCCTTTAATTTGAAGATCTCCGGCACCAACTCTTGTGAATATAGCGTCCACTAAGGATATGACAGCACTATCCGCCGGAACATATGACCCTATCTGTGCCATTAAAACACACAAAGCTATTGATCTAATATAAGTTGACTTTCCACCCATATTTGGTCCTAATGTAAACTAATATTTATAAACCAAAATTTAAAAAATCAAATTTTCTATACAAACCTGTAATGAAGTAAAACTTGTGTTTTTTGGAATCAAATGACACATCATTTGCAATATAGGAAACATTGTCCTGAAGTTCAAGACATGGATGTCGTACTCCTATCACATCAATTTTGCCCGAACCTAATGTATGTATATATCAAAATTTAGTCCTTTATTTATACACATTTACGACAAAATACCTTTCGGTAAAAGTTTGGGTCTTATGTATGGAATGGAGCGCACGAGCGAAGCGTTGGCCAGACCTACCATTACATCCAAATATGTCAATAAAATTTCCAACTCTTTAATTGTTTCAGAATATTTGGCTGAAAAAATTGTATTATATATTAGTCTTATATAAAAAACAAATAATAATGTGATTACCGGTATCAGCGATGATATCATTTGCCAAATCATTTTGAAGTTTTTCATAATCGCAACGAACATCAATGTAGTCATTGTTTAATTTTTTCATTTGTTTGTTCAAAAATCTAAAGCCATCTCTTTTAGTTGAGTTTTTGACCTCAAAATATTTGTCATTATTTCTCAAACACTTTTCATTTTTTCGCGTCAACTTAAATACGAATCCCTGAGCACTGCTCTCCAACTTAACCAAAGATTTGTCTTCATTTTGCACTTTCATCAGCTCTTTATCCACATTCTTATAGATATAATTTGCATCACTTTCTAATTTGTCGAGTTTTGTTCGCAACTCTTTAAGGTCGTCGTCATAATCGGATCTAATCCAGAACTCACCGGTTGTTTCAATGCGTTCTTCGTCGATGACATTTTCGAGTGATTTTCTCAGACCCGATAAATCATTACAAATGGATTTAAGTTTATCTGAAAAGTTATGTTTAATTGCCAAACAATTTACACTTTCCTCTCTTATAAGACAACTCTGAAAATTAGGTAAAAGTTTAAGCATTTGATAAATGCGATAACAATCCTGAAGTGTAGCTCTTTTTGAATGCAATTTCTTATAAATTCGCGATAAATCTGGAATTTTCTTCAAATAAATTTCGCTTAAATCCTGGCGAATGTCACAGTTTTTAATGAAAAACTCAATTATATCGAGTCTTTCCTCAATTTTATTGATATCAGTGAGCGGTTGTCTAATGAATTGAGCCAATAATCTCTGTCCCGAAAATGTACGGCAATAATTAAGAACTTGAAATAATGTCCGATTGGATCTAATATTATTAGAGTCATTGCAAAACAAATCTAATGAATTAAGAGCTGTTGCGTCCAATTTGACGAATTGACTTAAATTCATTTGTTTTACATGAAAACTGTCGAAATTAGAGTTATCGCCCAAAAGATTGAGGTAATCAAAAGTCGCTGACAATGACTCCTTTGCGAGTAAGTTCTTGTCGAGAATGGAATTGAATGACAACTCGTTGTTATCATCTGTTTTGACAATAAGTTTGTCTAAATCTGACTCAAGATTTGATGAATTAAATGTACTTTTCTTGACTTCAGTGACTAAAATCTTATTGCTTTCTAAAATTGAGATCAATTTCTTAAGAATTGGTTGTTGTTTATCATTAGTACAGATAATGGTCTCTTTAGGACTGATTTGAACCAAAAGACTTTCCAAATGAGACAAATAGTCGTTGTCTTCAAACTCACAAAAAGATATCTCATTTGCGATTGTGTCGACTAAAGAAACGCCGACTTTTAAATTGTTGGTTAACTGAATGCCACAAACACCTCGGCTATCAATAGACGCATTGGTCGAGTATATAATATCCTCAAGTCGTCCGAGACATCCGGCACTCGCTTTGAAGTCCAATTGCCAATCATTTGCCGAAAACTTTTTGGTGGATTTCTTATAAAACTCTAAGCGCTCTTTCCTTTCAATTAGTATGTGTTTCAATAGCGACTCATATCTGGCCATTGATATAGCAATCGATGGTATCTTCATTGAGTCGCTGCCAATGTATTTGATGGCCGAAGACGTACAAAGAAAAGATTTAGCTATAGATTCGGCATTTGGTCCGTGAAGTGTGTAATAGTCTCCCCGATCAAAGAGACGGTATGTTTTGGTCGGACATTCACCGAGTGATCGATAATAAGCCAAAAATGTTGGCTCTTGTGGTATGTCTTCAAAAAATGTTAATTAAATGATTATAAAGTTATTTCACAAGTTTTTAAATGACAATTAAATATTAAATGTCAAGTCATACCTAATTGTCTTTCGTTACTATCTTTATCATCCATCATATAATACAATTGATGTTAATTATTGGTCAACTAAGTGGTCACTTATGTGATACTAATGCGACAATCGGTTGAATCAATGGTCACATCCAATGAGTGTCTCAAATGTGTTAACTGTTTGTTATGTTTTGAGCGCCAAAAACATGTGATCTCTGTTTACAGCACTTTAATGAAGTAAGTATTATATTCGTTGCACTTTTTCAATGGATATACAGTACACAAACCAATTGATTTTTAATAAGCTTTGGTACTGATTACCACTTAAACTCAACTTAACTCACATTTATTCATCAAAATTAAATTAACAGAATATTCTTGTAATAAAATTTTTATCAAACATTATTAGAAAATGTTATTTTATTTTAGAGAAATTATTAATTTTATTTAATTTTGAAACTTTTTTTTGGTACAAAATATTAGACTAACTATTAGTTTATTAACAAACTAATAAAATACATCCCAAATGTCTATAACTTATTATACATGTACTCATAATAGTTATTTATAGCTAAGTTATATTGCTTGATAAAGTTATTAACAATACCGTAGATTATAGTTAGTGTTGTAAAATTTACCAAATTTCAAAATAATATAATTAATTGTTTTCTAAAGAAAATATTACATATAAATATTAATAATATTAAAAAGTTTTTATTCACATTAATGTGTTTAGATTTAAACGATTTTTTATTAGTATTATTTCTATTAATTAAATTCCTTTTACATAACATTAATAATAAATGTTAACTTAAATACTGTTGTAAATAATGTAAAAACATTGAATGAGTAATTATTACTTCAAAAGCATAAAATATATATTATTATGATATAATAAATTTCTAAATATATTTATAAATATTTATCAATTATAAATTATAAGATATAGACATCAAATATAATACCATTTATTGTTTAGCTTATAGACTGCTGTGAATTAATATCACATTCAGACATTCGGACAATCCTTTTATAAGACATGGGATGTCTGCGAAACACTACATAAACAAGTGATACGATAATCAAAAACTCAATCACTGTTAGGACAGTCAACGCAATGTTGGCGCGACTCAGACTTGAATCCGATTCTTGTGATGAACTGATTAGTGCCGATATCGCTGAAGAATTAGTGGTCAATGTTTTATTATAAACACTTTTTAGTTCATCTAATGAAGTAATTGGTTTAATTGTTGAGCTGTTTGTAATATCGGGCAAATCTGTAAAGTTAGGTATGGTTTGATTTGCTGGCAATTCTGGTAAATAAGTTTGACATATGAAGTGATATCTATCACCGCAGGGGTCGTCGTACCAAAAACCCATTTCCTGTGAATTTGGTGACTGAAGTAGTGAAGCGCAGTAGTGTTTGCCCTCCAAATTGTTTGGTTGACTTTTGGCCCAATTATTGTAATCAAAGACCGTGTTGTCCTCCCAGACAAACGTATCGTTGGACAGTCGTCGAGCACCGATCCAAACGTGATTATTGGCTTTATTTGTTATAAACGCATAGGTCTTTAAAAATGTTTGCTCTTCTGCTGAATGAATGGACACAAGAGTGGCGTTGAAAAAGTCATTACAAACCAAATGTGATTCATAAAAGGTTAGAAACGATCGGTCCGTATAAAATAGAAAACATTTATTCTTGAATTGTGTCCAACCATTTGGACAGCTCTGTACTAATTTGTTATTTGATACTGATTTTAAAACAATCATTAAATTAATACTATATATATATATTTATATAATTTTTTCTTAAAAAAATAATAATAAATTTTTGTTAACAACTTACAGAATATAAGATTTATAAAAATTGATATAAAAATTGTTAATAAATTCATATTAATATTAGTTTACTAAATAAAATAGAGTTTTGTAGTTATTTTTTTAACCATAAAAGTTAATAATCTGCTTAACGACTAACAAATTATGAATCCATAAGCTATAGCTATCAATGATCTAACTCTGCATTTAATTATATCGATTACACGTTTCCTTTTGAACCACATTTCCGGTAAATCCAATTAATTGTAATACTTGTTAATACTTGTTATGTGTTAAATGATATTGAACTCAATCATATGCACTAAATTACAAGAGATTTAATTATATAAAAAACAATAATCAAATATAATACCGTGAAAATCTCACAACACTTATTACAGATTAATAATTGTTTGATATCACACATTGTTTTTCAAAAATTATATATATTGTAATATACAGTACTATAGTATATTATTATGTGTTTAAAGATTTTAAAACTAAACTTTATTTGTAAACTTATACTGTATAAAAAAAATCAATAAAATAAATTAAATAGTCAATTAGTATTTTTTGTAATAGATATAAATCTGCACGTGTAATAAAGTGTAAATCAATAGTTAGATTTGCACGTGCAACAATGCATAAAATTTTTAACTTAAGTATTAATTCAATAATACATTTAATTTGACCGTTATTTTTAAAATTGATATTTTACAGACATTTCAAAATTGTATAGCAGTATAGATAATATCAGATATCAATTGAAAATGTGTCCAATTTTTAGTCGATTATTTGGTGGCCATCGGTATAAAAGAGTTCAAACTGAAGGAGAGTCAACTAAAAGGATATTAGAATCGAGTGTTGAAACTGAGAAATATAAATCAGAATCGCCTGAAACTGATCCCAATATAAGCATAAAAGTGACACAAATGCTTAGATTTCAGTTTAAATACGATTCACCAAACAATGCAAAAAGTGATACAAAAGACAGTCATGTGATACGTCTTCGGAAACTGAAGTACATATTGGGTCCACAAACTGAACATTCGGGACATTTCTCTGAYGTGTTTAATGTAACCAATATTTCAGATAATAACAGAGAMATTGTCTGCAAAATAATYAAACAAAAAGAGTTATTTGAGAGTTCAAGTCTTCTAATGGAGTTTCACCGAGAAGTGACTAAAACAACACAAATTGAGCCAAAGTGTCAATACCTTCTCGCTTATACACATCACTTCATATTTGATAACAAATACCTATATTTAGTGATGGAAAAGGCAACCGGCGATAGTCTTCAGACACGACTTGTCAGGACTGTCAATGGTTTCTCAGAGATTGATTCGTGGAAATACTTCATTCAAATATCGCAAGCTATCAATCATTTGCATCAGAATAGTATAGCCCATAGAAATCTCAAGTTAGACAACGTTTTTATATTCAATGGAAAAGATGGACAGGAAGTGCTTAAAGTAAGCGATTATTGTATTAATAGAGTCGCGAAAAGAGCCGAACGAATCATTTGCTATCCAAGAGATGCCAAAAGAATTATATATATGTCGCCACAGATTCTCAAGTTTTATGCCAAACATTTGAGACAGAAATACGATAATATGGCCATAAAAAAGATCCGTCACTTCGATCCTATCAAAGGTGATATCTGGGCGCTCGGTATTTGTCTGTTTTATATGTTAACTAAAACACATGCCTATGAAGTGCCACCAGATTGTACTGATATGAACCAAGAAATGGCCACTAAAACAAAGTATATCTTTTTGAAGAATTGTTTGAAACAGTTATACAAAGCCTTAAGATTACCGACAAAACTATTTGATAACATCAGTCCCGAGTGTTGTAATCTTCTGAATGAAATACTTGAAGCAAACAGTAGTCGACGTATCGATCACTACGGCATTATGAGACATGAATGGACACGAATGGGTCACAACATCATCAATAAACTAAAACATTGAAAATACATTTATCATAAAATCCAATCATTAATTTATATGCAATTTATTATTATTATAGTTTTTATTATCAATAGTTTGTAATCTTATTTAATTAAATTTTGTTGATTACTTATTATATATAAATTTATATTTATTATATATTACAAGTAATTGTTTTATTATATGATTATAAACTGGTTTACAGACAACCAATGGCTGAGCAAACACAACATTAATAATCATTACAATATATTGATTTGAATTGTGATATACACTACAAATACATTAAAGTAAATGCAAATAGTTTTTACAATATTTATCAAATTAATTAACCATTTATTTATAATATAAAAAWGTTAGTATAWTATATAAATTTACCAAAAAAATAACTAAAAACTTTCAACTCCTTATCCTATGGCTCTGAGTTTGACTGATATAAAGAGTTAATTCTTTGCAATTCAAATAAATCCAATGAATTCAAACGTATGGATTCGTATTCATATTCTTCATATATATTTGTATCATAATATTTGTTTGATTCACTTATAATAACTGATGGCATATTATGAGTGGACTGTCGATGTCTTCTCATAACATTTTTCATTACCCAATAGACAACTAATCCGATAAAGAAGGCGCCGATCAGGAATGAGACCAACATTGATATGATAACAATATGAAGTCTATGCCAATTGACAGCTGTATTGGTGTTGACAATTGATTTGCTTTCATTCAAATATGTGTATCCATTGAATAATTTTTCTAAATTTGCTTAAAAATATACAACAAAACTAAATTAAGAAAAATATTTAACTTTTATTATATCAATTAATAACTCTYAATAATTACTATTCTTAGGCAAACATTTTGGTTGAGAACCGCTCCAAAAACCTTTGACACAAACTCTTTTATTATCRCCTTTTAATACAATACTTGAATTGTTTGTCAATAAACACGAATAGATGGCCATTGATTTGGTCTCTGCGTGAGGGGTTCCGTTCAAGTAATTTAAATTAATATACTCTACATTTATGTAGTGATCTGTGCCATCCATTGCCGGCAACGGACAAAATGTTTTGGCCAAACATCGGGGGAACTGAACGTTCCAACGACCCGATTGACTACATATCACTTTTTGACTGCTAATTGAATCCAAATAAAAATCTTCTTCGCAGCCGAAGATAGTAAACGACTTTTCGCGTATTAACTCAATTGAATGCAACGGCTTTTCCGGTGAACCACAGGATTCACTTAAAGAATATGTCTTTAATGAGCAAAATGTTACCAAAATTTCTGATTTTGATTGTATATCAAATGAAATCAATTTTATAGAATCTAATGAATCTAATGARAGATTTTCATCTAATGTCTCAAAACATTTAAATGAGACTTTAATTTTATGTAAATTATCATCAATTGGTTCAACATTTTCATTGTAACACTTTTTACGAGGTTTAGCTAAACGAGATTTTATGGAAATGTCTCCCAACAACAAACCATTTATCAAACTCTTTGACTTTAAAATAATGGAGAAGTAGTCAATTGAAACATCACTTTCCAGTTGAATGGATATCCTTTGAGTGGCCGTAAGATTCCATTTAAAAGATGGCTGATAACAGTCTTCAGTCGATGAACTAAAGAATCTGATCACAGGATTCCCATTTTTATCGGGAATTTTTAAATATTTCAATCGAGAATGTGTTTCAATAGCTATTTTAAAAATTWAAAAAAAACAATAAATCAATATTAATATCAYATATAMAGAGAAATTGATAAAATTTATTTATTTGAATTTATGATCAGTTATCTACTGCAGTAACAAAAACTAGTAAAAAATTAAACTATTAATAAATTTTATCAATTTCTCTRCACAAGAGATTTATATACTTATTTTACATAAATTATATATTACGGTATAATTATTTATATAGAGATTTACCACATTTAGGTAGACTTCCCAACCATTTTCCATTAAAACATCTTATCGTAGAATTACCGATAAGAACCTTATCTTCGGAATCACATTCATATTGAATAAAACTGTATTCTTCATAACGTTTCTTATAAACATTGATTTTTGTCGACTCTGGAAGTGCTGGAAAACCACAATCCATATCAACTAAATTTAATTTCAATAATATTATCAAAACAGCTATTATCCACATTATCTTAAAAATATTTTTCTGTATTATCGATATTTTATATGTTATATTATTAAACAAATTATTTCATTGTTTTCTTTCAGACAAATAACTTATTTTCAGAATTTACTAATAATATAGATTTCCTTTGATTCAAACACTCTTAATATTATATCTTTTTTATTTATAATTTCCTTTTCAAATCAATATTACTGATTCAGTAGATATGTTATACAGGATTTCAAAAAAGTTTTCCATAATAAATATCTCAAATACCGGTGTAAAGTGTATTATTTGTCTTTTTTTTATTTGTTTGAATGATTTTTTAAAAATAAATAAAATATGATTAATGTAATGAATATATTATACAAAATTTTAAATAAAAATATGTTATGGTTTCCAAATCTTAAGCATTCCGTCCTCACTATAAGTGGCGATAAGATTTTGGTGCGGATGGTGTGTCAGTCCGATGACATCTTTTTCGTGAACCGAAAGCACTTTTTCGAGTTTAGTTGTGTTGGCATTAAAACAATATAAATTGAAATCGTCGGCCACAGCGTAAATCCAGTCACCTCTGGGACTCACTTTACAACAGACAAAGTCTCCGCTTTCGAGTTTGCCATTTGTATAACTTTTAACAATCTAATAAAAATATTAACAAAATATCAATTATTAACTTTATTGGCCTAAAGATTAATRCCGTAATTAGCAAATTATATACCTGTCCCGACATATTCATTATACTTAAAATATTACTACGGCTGCAAACAATAAAGTTTTCCGGATTTTTTGGTAATAATTGTACAGAATTTACAGTCAGATCAACAGTTCCGGTGCCCACTATTGCAGTCGACCTAAATGTGTGCAAACATTCAGTGGTTTTAAGACTCCAAATCTAAATATATAATAAAAATTAATTTCAATAATTAAATTTATTTCTATAAAATATAACTTAAAACTATATTTAAAATAAAATAATTAATGAATACTTTGATGGATCCGTCAGAACTGGCACTTATGATATGGTGTCCGTCGTAACTATAGATCACTTCGTTGATAAAAGATGTGTGTCCTCTAAATTCTTTTAATATTTTGCCGCTCTTTAAGCCGTGAATTCTAATCGTGGCGTCAAAACTGGCCGATAATATATGGGACGAATCGCGGCTAAAGTGAGCGCAGGTCACGCCCTTTGCGTGTGCTTTGTCTATTCGCCGTAARCATTGTCCGGTCTGTAATTTCCAAACCTTGATCTGTCCCTCTTGTGAACCGCTGGCCAACATTTCTGAGTCGCGACTAAATGCAAGACAGAGTACGGCGTCATTCATAAGCATAAAGTTTTCCGTCGCCTGATATCTCAAATCTTTACGAATCTTTCCGGTCGTAAAATTCCAGACTTCAATAAATCCGTCAACTGATCCCGTAATCAAATACTGGCCATCGGGTGAAAAGTGTGCCACTTCTACGTGAGATTTTGATCCAAATTTGATTGTTTTAGACAATAAATTGGGAAAAGTTTCGTCTTCTTGTTCTTTAATAGACGCCTTTCCTCGGAATAGATCAATGGATGTTCCCGGGGGTAACAATCCCTGATATTGTTGCCATTTAAGCGCCTGACCTAACAGTGCCAACAATCTAGAAGGCGGAACAACAGACACTTCACCGCTAAGACTCTGAGCGATCTGTTGCCGGCGTTTCTCTTTGTTTGACCCCTCGGGATAGGCTTCAGTAGTATCGAAATAGCTTCGGGCGAGTAATGTCTCCAAATGGATGTAYCGTTCAGGTTGTTCGGCCTTTAATTTGATCATTGGATCCGTTTGTCTCAATAAACTTCTTGCGGCTCCCAATTCACGCAATTCAATCAATTCAACAATAATCTGTTCGTACAAATCCATTAGCTTCTTATCGGGCAATTTGAGTGACTGAACCACTTTGAGGACAACATCCCAATGACCACTATGTATGTCGTGAACAAAGCTCTCGACAGAGTCCACAGTATTCAGTGATATTGATGTCTCTTCTTGTAATGTCTGCAAAGTTCTCATCAAATTATTTTCCTTCAGGTATTGAGCCATCAATCGGATCACATCCGCGCTCTCGATCTCTATTGACATTTCTGTCACCAATTATCTTGAGGTATGTCTTGTAATGGACAACAAGTGATCAACAAATTCAATACAATTGACAATTGAATCATAAAATACTAATTGTTTATCAAATAAGACATGTTTTGTCATTTGAATTGAATTGTATTGCTTTCAAACCTATAGATGGCTTTCATATGTATGTATAGAGTATAGACTCACACAATATCAACATTACTTATGATTCCCTCCTTTACTAAATATCATATTATTTTAGTGGAAATTTCCCATAATTTTTATAAATTTTATTAATTAACAGATAAAATACTATACAGTATATAAATATTTTGTGAACAACTAAATTAATTTTTTAAATATTAAAATTGATTAAATTTAAATACAATTTGAACAGAAACTAACAAAATGTTGTTTAAATACAAATAATTATATCATTTGTTAAATTAAAAAATTATAATTACATTTTATTCGTAAATGAAATCAAAAAGTAATTTTAAATTTTACAAATATTATATTCAATATTAATTATAATTATAATTATAATTTTATTTCTAAAATAATCTGAAATTTCTGTTTACAATCAAAATATATAGTAAATATTGTATATTAAGATTTTAAGAACAAATATAAAAATTTTTAATAATTTAGTATTGTAATATTATATATATATTGTATAATAATATATTTAAAAAAATTATGATTATATTTATTAGTTTAGACTAAGTTAAATATATACTATTTCTATCGGTATATTCTTAAAATATATTAATATATAATTCACATTTAAATAACAAATCTATTAATAACATCTTATATTTTCAAAAGTGTAAAATACTCGAGTATTTCACAAGAATTTTGTTAAAATACAATAAAATTGTCGAAATATAATAAAATAATGGAAAAGCCGTTATTTGGGAAATACATATGAGTAACAAATATATGACTGATATAATAAAAGTATGGTATTGTTATCTAATTTTATCCAATGAACCTTGAATTCAATGCAAATGCAATTTTTCAAACATAACATTATTATTAAATTTATCCCATAAATGATCTCTTTTTGTATTGACTACCGGTAGCATAATATTAATACTAAGTTTAAACATAATTACAATTTATTATAATATAGAAAAATTAAATATATAGATAGCATTTTACGATTATTTAATTTTATTGTTACAGTTATTGCTTACTTTATGAAATAAATAAATGAAAATTTTTATTTATGGAAATTATAGATGATGTGATAAAAAATAATAGTGATTTTAAATGTCTTATACAAATAAATTATAAATTAAAGTACGAGCACTTAATTTTTTTTATAAATACAGTCTTATTTATGATTATTTTTTTTAAATTTCGTATTTGAAATAATATTATTAAACTTTTGTTAATTTTTAAAAGACAATAATGCCGTAAATACTAATAATAATATTATAGAAGTTAATAGTTAACTAATAATTATTTATAGTTCTCATAATAAAAAGTTATTAAATAATAGTTTAATATTGTATTAATTAAACAATTGCAATCTATTATTAAAGCTGTAGTTTATCTTCAATTTTAAGTATTGAAACAATTTTATATTATAAACACATTGACCATAGTTTGGTGTATTTGGTATTTAAACTTAAGGATTATACGGTTAGAAACCGAAATATTGACAATTGATTATATTAATAGTTGATAATAATATATTAAATACTAAGTAATTTAATTATTATTTCATTAAATTATCGAAAATAGTTAATCTATTGATATATTTATTATGGTATGTATAGTATACTATATTAAACACTATATATAACTTAATCTTTAATGACAATTTATAAAATTAAATAACCGAAAAAATAATTAATTTTAATTCATCAAAAAATTATTTAAATTATAGCTTGTTTTTAATTATAATAATCAATATACTTTTATGGTTTAAATATCATAATTTTTTCCAATATTAATAATTTGTTTAAGAATTTATGGATTCAATGGTTTATTGTATTTAATTAATGAAGTAATTTGTCATTTAGTGTTTGAATTACTTTTATTTAATGTAATTCAATACTAAAAAAACATTGTCATTACAATTGAATGGTTTATACTAAACATATTTTATTCATTATTGACACAAAAACCTTGTCCTCAATATTGGCTTTAATATTGGATGASATTCTTGTGATGACATTCTTCTCTAAATACAATTGCCATTCAAATAGATATTAAGTACAATATTAAGCAATACATTACAATTACAATGCAATTACTACATGTATTCACTAAAATAATTTATTTCCGGATTTTTAACTACACTAATATTAAACTAAAAAAATTAATCTCATATTAAAAAACTACTGTATTTGAAAATTATGTATTTCAAAGTTAAATCACTCAATAAAATATTCTTATTTTTTAATATTATAATATTGTATTATCTTTAGATTTTTGTTTATTAAACAAAAAGTTATTATTGTAGTGAAATATTATAAATATTTATTGTTTATTGAGTTTTGATGTTTGTATTTATTAATATATTTTTGCAATACATTAATTGTACAGTAAAAACATTCATAGCTATTATGCAATTATTGTAATACTTATTGTTTTAATTTTTAAAAACTTTTTATTATAAAACAATTTTAATATTAATTTTGCATAGCAAAAACATTTATATTTTGATATTTTTTATTGTTAAATTACATTAAATCAAAACATATTTTTATAAATGTTTTGTTTTATTGTGATGTTTTTGTTTATTATTATATGTCAAATGATTTTATAATATTGTATATGCAGTGAACATCTGTTTTATGGTTTAATATTTTCATCTAACAATTATTAAAAAAAAACTAAAAAACAATCTTTAAATTAACATCTATATTTAAATTAATTTTAATTTATATTTTTATATAATAAATTATGTAATTAAAAAAAATATTAATTACAAATTTTAATTGAAATGACATCAATCCTTAAATTTAAAACAACTAATAAAAATTATTTTCCTGTTTTCTGTATTAAAATATTACTTTTAATTAAATTTTAATTAAAATATTATTAATGAAAATTATAACAACTTTGATTATATACAGTATAAAACAACATATAAAAATTTTTACATTAAAAATATATTTTACTAATAATTAGAATTTTATATTTTTCATGGATTTTACATTATCTAAATTATTTAACAATAATATTCAAACACTATTAAATCAATGATTTGTTAAAATCTACTGTAATAGAAAAAACAATTGTATTTAAAATATATAAATATTTATTTAAAAATTTTCTAAAATTTACTGATTGTGTGTTAATAATGTCAACAAATTGTATAAATATAAAAATTATATGTTAATTTAAATGATTGACACAAACAAACAATTATACATTTTATGAAACTTTTTTTAAAACATTAATTTCTATTTTTTGTTTCTTTATTTTTATTTAAACATAAAGAATATTCTTTCTCTTTCTTTCTATATATAGGTGTTTGTAAGTGTTTTTCAAAATAATAGTTAGAAAAATTAATATATAATAAATTTTTAAAAAATTATAAATGTTTTAAAATTTGTTTGATAATTGACTTTTAAAATTTTTGTGCAATTATCGTGAATATGTCGCCTAAAATTTTTATGATTTCTTAGCTATTTGTACGGCAGTTACAACAGGAATGGACTAGTGGTGAGCAAATTGTAAGCTCAGAGAAAAACTGTGGTAATGGTTGTACTGAATAACAGAAGTACTGATATACTGGTGTACCAGTTGTGGTACTACTTGGGAACGGTATGCAAGTGGCACACACTCTCACTTTGCATCAGACATGTATCCAATGCCAACCAATGTCTATAGCATTGCTATAGCATTGCATCCGACAGTACTTCAGTACTTAAGTATTGGTTGATCTCTGAGAGTATAACTTGTTTTCAACATTTCATTTCATTTCTCTGTTTACTATTTTCATGTGTTTTGTCGTCGATATAATACAGTCTCCAAACTTCGCACACACTGTATATAAGTGATGTGAACTGCTATTTGCAAATCATTTATTACATCAAAAGTCAAACAACAAACACATTACTTAACAGTTTGTGATTCACAACTCATCTAATATACAGAAAAAGTTTGCCATTTAGTTTTGCTTATGTTTGACGTATTGATGATTTAAAAAAACTAAATAAATACTTATTATATTTATGTAATTGTAATACTGTATTATAATTGTCAACTAATAAGTTGTTTTTCAATAAGTATAAATAGTTTTTAAAAACTTTAAAAAGATTTAATTGTGAATTATAGTCAAAGTGGTTATAATATAAGAAATATTTATATTATTGATAAACAAATTAGACTTAATTCAAACAATGATAATGTATTCATCAGAATTAGGAGTCGTTAAGTCTGGAGTTCTTGATTTGGTATCATTTGATTCAAGACAGACATCAATGAAAAGTGCAGAAATGTTGGGAAAAACTAGTCATCAGAAAGTGGTAGTTGTGGTCTATAAGACCTCATTAGAGCACTTTGCTGTTGTTTACCCTCATTGGGGACTTATATCAGCGAAACGTCCGTTTTGTATAATAAATCTGAAGAGAGCTAAAGTGGAGCGAAGCCATAAAGACCCAAACCATGAGTTCTCAATACTAGCCTATCGTGACTCAGATCTGTCGGCTATCCTTTGTTTTACTCAATCACTTAACGATAATACAGATAGTAATAGTATTGATGTCATCCAGTCGTGGATTAACGCTCTTAAGGCAGATATCAACGAAAGCGATACTAAAGTGAGGTATCAATCGTGGAAGTCATGGTCGACAGGCAGACGGGTCTCCAAATCGACACTTCTGTCTGTACTTAATGAAGATGACAGTGAAGAGTATGGCATCTGAAGTATTGACGTGACATTTACGAAGACTTATCAAAGTCTTATTTTTTGTTTGTTGTGTCTTCCAAGTCATTGCTCGACATCTCAGTTATGATCAGTTATTAATGTTGACCTGACTCTCAAAATATTAACTTCTAATCTATAGCTAGTATTGCTTATATTGAAGTCAAATACAACATAAGAAAAGCAAAAATTTTTGTACATTTATTATCATCTGAATGAAGTGGAAGCCAATTGAATGTCATAATTGACTGATTGCCATAACATTGACCCCTAAGTGTGATGTCATGCCTTAGATAACTGATCGCAAATATTTCAGACAATCTCTGAAATTAAGT